GGGGGGGGGGGATGGGTCTTATAAGCGGAAGTTTACGGTGTTACTTTACCCCTACTTTCTGTGATTGTTATCCATGATTTACTGGGAGATCCCCTTGAAATAGTTAGTTGGAATGCAGAGTAGAATATTTAAGCTGTGACATCGTTTAACCTATGTAAACATTTCAAACCCGTCAAATCCTTACATTTTGTAGGCTGAATTATCCCGCGAAAATTCTATCTTAAACGTCACGCAAAATGGCAAAAAGCGAAATGGAAGCTCCCTTGCTAGTATTTTTTGCTGTCGTGTAGAACAACACTGCAAGTAATATTGATCGAAGCTCTATCCTACATTAATTTTTGGTCGAGGGAAGACGTCAGAGGTGGTGTCCATTTGGGGCAGCTGTATGTAAACAATGAGGAAATACAGTTATGACACTTTTTTCCTGCTATCCGGCCCACGAAAGGGTCACCAAGGACACACGAATAGAATTAACATCCAAAGTCGTGTTATGTCAGGATTGCCTGCGGAAATCTTTCTTGTGTTCCATGTTGTCGTTTGTATGGTGGCAGGTTAGTATACCTTGTTGTTTTCCGCTGTATTACCTTCCTAGGTTTAGGCGCCGTCCACGCCTCTGGGAATCTCAAAACGGAGGCTTCACACTCTGTCTGAAAACGTATCAAATATTTTCCGTCCACAAGGAATTTACTTTCCCAGACATTTCAACTTCATTCCGAGTTTTGAACAATCCATTACATAAAGATTTGCTGTTATTTTTTACCTTTAAGTCAGCTGAGTGGTTTTTTTTTTTTTATCAATCATTTGATTTACTGTTGATATTCATCTTCAACTAGCGAAATTATTTTGATACAGTTTTCACAAATCATATAAAAATCATTGTGGCAAATGCTGATCCTTTATGCTGTTTTTATTCTTGTAATTTTCATCTTGTATCTATTAGCAGTGCAATATAATTTTTTCGTGCGGAAATAGACCTATGAATAAGCATAATTTAAGCTTCAGAGCAAGAGGGCGTGCGTCAATTGCTTGCACACTAAGACAAGCCAAATGAGGATGCATTTCGTTTACCGGTGTTATGTTAAAAACATGGGTAAACAAACATGGGCAAACATTGCTCTGTGGATATTCTTGGGCAACTATTTACTTGTCACGTACGAATCGCCTTAAAATCGTTGTGGCAAGCTTCAGGGAATCAGATCAATATTGATCCTGTTGCTCGTTATTTGTTTGCAGTGCAATATAATGTTTTCGTGCGGAAAGAGACCTTTAAATCAGCACAAAATTATCTAAAGCTTCGTAGCAAGAGATCGTACATCAATTGTGTACACACTAAGACAAGCAAAACAAAAATACATTTTGTTTTCCCATGTTAAAAGCATTTTGGCAAGGTCAGTGAAAATTGATTTGCCGTCGGAAGCGGGGTGTTTGCCGGCCTGTAACTATTTGTTGCGATATTTTCTCATACCCAATTTGTATCGGAGAGTTTTCTCATGAGCCACCTCAAGACTATGTTAGTCTTCAGAGCAACTCAATGTCGTGCAAAATATAATTCAGTTTTCGTTTTGGCTCACGTACGTGCAGTCTCGTTAATCATGAATGTTCAAAAAGTCGTCAATAACAGCTGTATATTTGCTTATGCCAGCAAGATATTATCAATACTAATTTGTATACAATTTCGTTGCATTAGCTGGCTTATTCCAAACGTCCAGTTAGTTGGGGCGCAACGCGGAAAAACGGCGGAGCGAAATAAAGGAGAGAGGGGCGGAAAGAGGCTGGTGTTTCGTTGAATACATTGTAAGCCTTGTAACAACAGCTAATGTGTCATACTGGCAGGAGCAGTATCCTTGTACATTAAATTAGTTTTGTTGAGTTAAATATGTAGTTTAGGTTTGTTAATATACTACAATACGCTTGATAGGGTCATATCATGAAGGTTTAATATCAGACTGAGAAACAAAATGTAGTTTTACTTGAATACTGTGTATGAGTTGCATTACAAAGTTTACATGCAGCTGCACAAAATAGACACCACCTCTGACGTCTTTCCTTGGCCATCTCGTTTACACGCTAAAAATTGAAGAAAACCTGAGAATTTGCGAGACCAGTTACTCCGATTTGCTTGTAGATACCAACTTTTAATTAGAAAGACTATCGGAAAAATGTTTTTCTGTCAAAATAAACTCCGCACTTTTGAAAAATGGCTAAAATGTGGTCATGCTCATAAACGATTCGGCGGTAATATTTGGCACCTCGTGAAAACCGTAGAATTAAAACGAAAGACCTCTAATATATCTCAATCAACTAATAAGGGGTCAAATATTATTGCACGAAAATAAGAGTTTCTGGAAGTTGTACGAAGAATCTTTTAGGCTCACCTAAAGTTGCCTGAAATTTCGACCATTTTAGACCGCTCAGGAGGCCAAAATCATGATGTGATGACATCCCGAAAAAACGAACGCCTACCTCGGCAAAGGTCACGGTTATAATAATCTTTTCGGATAGCTTTTATACTGTGAAAAGATGAAGGTAAACGGCCGACCTGTGACGCACGCCTTCTGCCCGGTTTTCTCTTACGAATGACACTTAACTGACAGAGAACTTTATTTGAAACAAGAGATTGAATGTTATAGATTCGCACGTCTTGTATTCTGCCGGTGTTTGCTAGAAGGAGCGATCGAAGCAAAATAAAATTTTGTTTTATGAATGCTCATATGTCCCAAAGGCAAGGTTTTGGATTACCTTTTACAGTGTTCCTTTGAATATTTTATACTTAAATTCAGCGCAACACTGGAATGAAAACAACTACGCCTGGAGAGGAACGAAAGGTAAAACCTGGTATAATTAATTTTTCAACGATATTTATGGTTCCTTGGTTTCATTAATTATTCTTCGGCCATACAATTAAAGATACTCACTGACATGCTTCCTCGGTGTAGCTAAGACCGAAACACAGGAAAAAAAGCCTTACAACCCCGAGTATTCAACGGACAAAGACGTGGAAGCCATTTTTGACGACTTAAATCGCTAGATTAGAAATCTCTAGTTGATGTCATTCAATATAGCGGCAATGACGCCGCATAAAAATGAAAAAAAATACATAAACTGTTTTAACATTTGTTTAATTTTTCAGCCAGAAGTTTATATCAGGGATAACGCCGGTCGATAACTGGAAAGCTAACACTGAAATTAGTTCACGTCGGATTGAAATAACAATGAAATACAAAGAACGGCCATTGAGGGCATTGCTTCAGGGATTCGCAGAAGAAACCACCGCACACGGTATCAGCCAGATAGCATCATCCAAGTCGGTATTTTGGCGCCTTTTTTGGGTACTGGTGACGCTTGGCGGCGGAGGAATGGTGATCTACCAGGGAATACTGTTGTTTAACACCTATATGTCCAAGCCAATCAAGTCGGACATCGACATCACATACAGACGGGTGGGTAGTGTTGTTGTCATTATTGAATGCATTGCACTGTTAAGCCTGGTTCACAGTAGCGACATAACGAGATAACGACATCGACATAACGACATAAGGAAAAGATCAGTTTTATCTTCATGTCGTTATGTTCATGCTTTTACGTTGCTAGTAAGTCATTATGTCTACATGTTCACACTACAAACATAGCGTCCCTTTTACGTCGAGATAACGTCCTTTTTGACTCGTTCGTCGTGACGATATCATTTCGTTATGTCGTCAGTGTGAACCAGGCTTTAGGCCTAGTTCACACTAGTGAATGACGACATAAACATAACGACATAAGGACGTTGTATCGTTATGTTTGCGGTGTGAACATCCTGACATATGTCGTTATGTCGAAGTTCACATTACCGACATAAGCGATTATGTCGTTTTGTCGCTGGTGCGTGAGAACTAGGCCTTACTGGCCTTACTGAGTTTTTTAATTATGAAAACGACCTTAGAACAATTCATAGTTACACAATGTTTTTGTTTAAGAATTCTGAAAAAAAAGGGAAGAAAACTCTTCATATATATCAGATTCAACCGGAATCTTCTCAGTTTCATTGAGAACTGAATCATGTTATCCCAACGACTGAGGGCCTCAATCACAACTCTTCGCCGACGCCATGACATCGAGGATTTCCTCTTCTAAGGACAGGATGAGGAGTGTAGAAAACTGAGAGAAATGTACTTTATGGAAATCTGAGTCAGACTAGCTCAAATGTAACATAAACTATTAAGAATCCCAACTGGTGGGAAGCTGACCAGTTGGCTATTTACACAACGCGGCCGAGGAGTTGAACTCGGGGCTACCGAGAACAAATCCAGATAGCGGTAGGGTGGAGGATTTGAACCAGGGACCTCCAGATTTCAAATCCAGCACCCTAAACCACTCGGCCACGCCGCTTCCGCTAAATCCGTTAATTATCCGCTTATCTGTTAATTATTTCTACAGAGCATCAAATTTCCTGCGGTGACGATATGCAACCTAAACATCATTAGAAAATCCTTCCTTCGCAAGTTTTCCCGCGCTGACACCAACACAAGTCGAATGACCCGCGACCTGTTCGATGAAGAAAAAATAAATACCCTGAAACGTTTTCTTAACACCGACTCTTCAAATGCCGAGGAGATCTTGAATCTGGAAAACGTCACGATTGACCCAGAAGAGTACACCAAGCAGCAACTTTTAATCAACTTAGCCAGCTATAATGAATCTGAATTGGAGAGAGGAGGACATCGCTTTCGGGAACTGGTATTTCGCTGTTATTTTAAAGGCTTTTCTTGCAAAGATCGGTAAGTGCGAGGGAAGTAAGAAATAGAATTTCACTGGGCGAGCTGAGTGGCTTAGGAGTAGTATGACTCTAGTATGAAGGGACTACCGGTGTTAGTATTCCCCTGAATGGGATGGAGGTGATCAATTCCAAGTTCTGTTACATTTTAGGTCGTTCATGTTCGTTCTGACTTTAAAGATAGGTTATGGTTTTTTTAAGGGATTGCATGTAAGCTTATTTCTAAATGTTCTTTCCGTTTCTGATAACATTGTACATTAACGATGACTAAATAAGTGCCTTCTAGAAAAGCCTGAATATCTGTTGCAAAAAAAAGGCCTATTATAGTCTAATTATGACGCATTGTGTGTCTGTATTTTCTTCTCACCATGATAAGTGACTTTTTGAAGTACTGGAAAACAACATGGAACTGGAGATACGGTAATTGTTTCACATTTAATTCTGGTGCTACCAGTCAGGGCAAACGGAAACCCGTTTTGACCATTACCAAGCCGGGACCACAATACGGTAAGAAATTATTGAAACAAAAGCAATTATGTACAAAAAATGATTGTGCTTTTAACCAAGCTATATTTTTCTTCTTTATATGGCACGTTTTTTATTCTCATTTAGTTGAAAGAGTCCTTCTAATTGAATCAGAATGTAATTCAACAATAACCGAGAGACTATGACAGCATTTTTACATTTTCAATATCCTCCCCATGAACTTCATTTAGGCCAGTCAATGGTTTGTTTGTAAGTCAACAACTAGAAAAAAATCAAGAGCAATAAATGGAAGAGTTTCTTTAATGCATTCTCAAACAAACTGGTTGAAACAGAAAGTTAACAAGACATTGTTACAACCTCGCACCACATCAACTTATTGACTGTCAGATCTCGTCAATTTAGATACCTTAATTCTGCGATATTCTCCCATCAGGTCTGACACTGGATTTATTTGTGAATCAAAAGGAGTACATTCCTATACTTAGTCAAGAGGCCGGTGTTCGTGTTTTGATAACTGGTCAACGGAGCATCCCTTTCCCTGTTGACGAAGGCTTCACGGTCTCTCCGGGATTTGCAACGTCTATTGCTTTGCGACAGGTTTGTCTAAATCAAACAGATTTGTATAAAGTCCTTATCCATACGTGAACTGTGTGCAGTAACCTCAGCTAGCACACAGGAGTGACCAGGAGTCGGTCAACGATTTAGGGAGCGGTGCAAACTGAACGTGATCAAGTCATTGTATGATGGAAAAGGTGAACTTAAAAAAACTGAAAAATTATTATGTTTGGCTGCTCGGTGATTAACTTCATCTCTCCCCAAAGACTCTGAAAGGACTTTGTTAGGGGAAATTCCCTCAGCATAGCACTGATGTCGCAAGCATCCCAGCTATCTCATATCGAGTCGTCCTCAGTCTCACCTAAAATCACCACGAGTTTCAACTTTCCTAAACACTTTGTCTAATTAATCCATAGTTGAGCATCACTCGAGTGGATCCTTTCAACAACGGAAGTTGCTACAGCGCTGAAAGTGTAGAGGAATTTTCTATTTATAAACGCTACAAAGGTTCAAGTTATTCGGTGCAGGTTTGTCAACTCGTTCTCTGTAATTTTCCTTTGCCCACTTTTTCCTCTCACAATCCAATGCCATCCATTGGGCAAGATTTCGCGAATCCACAAAACACACTTTTTGAGTTATAGTAATCGTTTGATTTTGTAGCACTTTACAAAGAGAGTAATCCGGTACCAAATGAGGATCAGCAACAATATCGAGTTTGGAAATGAAATATAATTTAGACAAGCACGAAAATGAAACGAAGACTCACATTTCAGAGTACTGGCCTAATTTATTAAAAGTCCTGCTACAGAATGGCTCCCTTAGCTTCAATCCCTTAAAGAAAGTACTTTTTTATAGTAAATAAGTAGCTTAATTTTCGGGTTCATAGAGTTGTCAACGAAGGGGTTACCGACCATGTTTTGTTTAGTTATGAGTTCTTCAAAGTTAAACTTAAGATTGACACGTTAAACTGTTGGTAACCTGTTATGGAAAGAATATAACCGTAACTTGTTCGGCAATGATCGGTCATTTGTTTAACATCATTGTTTTAAAATCAGCTGTTACGGGTAATAGGATAATAGAAGGGAAAGTCAATAAAGCATATCTATGTGTGTATGCAGCATCCATCTATCCAACAGAGTAAAAAAAAAAAAAAAAAAAATAAAGAAATCAAGTGGCTTTTTAAAATTAATAAGAATATAAGTAAACCTCCTTCACTGAGGACCAGTCATATCCTTATATAGACGAACTGGTTCAGACCAATAACTGTCATGGCAGTCTGTACAAATTCATGCAGTATCAAACCATTTCAGCCCATTGCACTGATAAGATATCAAAATTATATTCCCCTTGATGATATACAATTTTCAGACAGTATATATGGACTGAAAACTCATTACAGTCTGTCAA